TTTGGGGGTTTTGGGATTTGGGAATTCGGGATTTGGAAGTTTGGGGTTTGGGATTTCAGGATTTGGGAATTTGGGGGATTTGAGAATTTGGGATTTGGGGGTTTTGGGATTTGGGAATTCGGGATTTGGGAATTCGGGAATTGGGAATTTGGGATTTGGGAATTCGGGATTTGGAAGTTTGGGAATTCGGGAATGTGGGGTTTTGGGGATTTGGGAATTTGGGATTGAGGAAATTCAGGATTTGGGGTTTTTGGGATTTGGGAATTGGGGTTTTTTGGGGGGGGATTTGGGAATTCAGGAATTCGGGATTTGGGGATTCAGGAATTCAGGGATTTGGGATCTGGGAATTCAGGATTTGGGAATTCGGGATTTGGGATTTGGAAATTCAGGATTTGGGGTTTGGGATTTCAGGATTTTGGGATTTGGGGATTCAGGATTCAGGATTTTGGGGTTGGGGATTTTGGGGAATTTGGGAATTTGGGGGATTTGGGATCTGGGAATTCAGGATTTGGGGTTGGGGGATTTTTGGGATTTGGGAGAATTTGGGGGATCTGGGATTTTTGGGGATTGGAGAGTTTGGGATTTGGGAATTCAGGATTTGGGGTTTTTGGGATTTGAGGGAATTTGGGATTCGGGACTTTCCCAGCGGGAATTTGGATGAATTTTCCGGCATTTTCCAGGGTGGATTTTTTCAATTCATTTTCAAAATTCCCAGCGGGAATTTGGGCAGAATCCCGGGAATTTCCCCTGAGGAATCCCGGGAATTTCCCCTGAGGAATCCCGGGAATTTCCCCTGAGGAATCCCGGGATTTTCCCCTGAGGAATCCCGGGATTTTCCCGGATGGATTTTCCTGGAATTTCCCGGAATTTCCCCACCTAAAACCTCCCAAAAATCCCATTCCAGGGCCCTCCCGGCGAAACCATCCAACCCCTCCCCATCCAAATTCCCAAGAAATCCAAGCGTTCCCTGGAATTCCCGGAATTCCGGCATCCCGAACCTTCCAGCCTCCTCCTGGAATTCCTGGATTCCCTGAAATCGGAGCTGGAGCGGCTCCGGAATCCTCCGGGATCCCGGGATCATCCGGCCAGGACCTGCCAGGACCTCAAGCTCGGCCACCCCCAGCTCCAGGATGGTTCGTGAGGGGGATTTTTGGGATGAATTCCCGGTTTTTTGGGGGGAATTTTGGGAATTTTTTGGGGTCTGATCCCGGTTTTTTTTCCCGGAATTCAGGGGAGTATTGGATCGATCCCAACCAGGGATGTTCCCGGGATTCCGTCAGGGTTTTCTGCAACTTCACGGCCGGAGGGGAGAGCTGCGTGTTCCCGGAATTCCAGCAGGTCTCTGGCTGGGAAAAATCCCGGGAATTCTGGGGAAATCGAGGGGGAAATCCTGGGGAAAAATCTGGGAAATTCTGGGGAAAATCCTGGGGAAAAATCCCGGGAATTCTGGGGAAATCGAGGGGGAAATTCTGGGGAAAAATCCTGGGAAAAATCCTAGGAATTCTGGGGAAATTCTGGGGAAATTCCCAGGGAAATCCCAGGAAAAATCCTGGGAAAAATCCCTGGAAATTCCAAGAAAAATCCTGGGAAATCTGGGGAAATCAAGGGAAAAATTCTGGGGAAATTCTGGGAAAAATCCTGGGGAAAAATCCCGGGAATTCTGGGGAAATCAAGGGAAAAATCCTGGGAATTCTGGGGAAATTCTGGGAAAAATTCTGGGGAAATTCTGGGGAAAATCCTGGGAAAAATCCCGGGAATTCTGGGGAAATCGAGGGGGAAGTTCTGGGGAAAAATCTGGGAAATTCTGGGGAAATCAAGGGAAAAATTCTGGGGAAATTCTGGGGAAAATCGTGGGAAAAATCCCGGGAATTCTGGGGAAATTGAGGGGGAAATTCTGGGGAAAATCTGGGAAATCCTGGGAAAAATCCTGGGAAAAATCCTGGGAAAAATCCCAGGAATTCTGGGGAAATTATGGGGAAATTCCCAGGGAAATCCCAGGAAAAATCCTGGGAAAAAATCCCTGGAAATTCCAAGAAAAATCCTGGGAAAAATCCTGGGAAATCTGGGGAAATCAAGGGGAAAATTCTGGGAAAATCCTGGAAAAATCCCTGGAAATTCCGAGAAAAATCCTGGGAAAAATCCTAGGAAATCTGGGGAAATCAAGGGGAAAATTCTGGGAAAATCCTGGAAAAATCCCTGGAAATTCCGAGAAAAATCCTGGGAAAAATCCTGGGAAATCTGGGGAAATCAAGGGGAAAATTCTGGGAAAATCCTGGAAAAATCCCTGGAAATTCCGAGAAAAATCCTGGGAAAAATCCTAGGAAATCTGGGGAAATCAAGGGGAAAATTCTGGGAAAATCCTGGAAAAATCCCTGGAAATTCCGAGAAAAATCCTGGGAAAAATCCCGGGAATTCTGGGGAAATCAAGGGAAAAATTCTGGGGAAAATCTGGGAAAAAAAATCCATGGAAAATCCCAGAAAAATCGTGGGAAAAATCCTGGGAATTCTGGGGAAATTATGGAGAAATCAAGGGAAAAACTCTGGGGAAATTCTGGGAAAAAATCCCAGGAAAAATCCCGGGAAAATCCTGGGCAAAATCCCAAGAAAATACCCAGAAAATTCCAAGAAAAATCCTGGGAATTCTGGGGAAATTACGGGGAAAAATCCCTGGAAAATTCCAAGAAAATCCCAGGGAAAATCCTGGGAAAATTCCAGGAAAATTCTGGGGAAAATCCCTGGAAAAACCTCGGAAAAATCCCTGGAAAATCCCAGGGAAAAATGCCCAGGAAATTCTGGGGAAATCCCAGAAAAATCCCTGGAAAATTCCAGGAAAAATCCCAGGAAAATTCCAGGAAAAATCCCAGGAAAATTCCAGGGAAAAATCCCCTGGAATTCAAAAAAAATTTGGGAATGAGGTCCTGACCAGCCGGGATCCCTAAATTCCCAAGGATTCAGATCCCAGAATTCCCAGAATTCCCAAGAATTGGGGATCCCGGAATTCCCAAAATTCCCAAGGATTTGGGATCCCAGAATTCCCAGAATTTCCCTCCCCCAGAATTCCCGGAATTCCCCAAGCTCCGGGATTCCGCCGTTCCCGGCCCCGCGGGGTTTTCGGGATGTCCGGAATTCCCGGGATTCGCTCATTCCCGATTTTCCAGGTGCCGCTCCCGGATCTGGATCCGGACGAGGGAAATCCGGCCCCGCTCTGGCTCAGCCGATCCCGGGGAGGCCGCGGGGTCAGGAGCCCAAATTCCCGCTTTTCCCACCCAAATTCCCGCTTTTCCCACCCAAATTCCCGCTTTTCCCCAAAAAATTCCCATTTTCCCCCCAAAATTCCCGTTTTCCCCCCAAATTCCCATTTTTCCCACCCAAAATTCCCACTTTTCCCCCCTCAATTTCCCGCCTTTCCCTCCCCAAAATTCCCACATTTCCCTCCCCAAAATTCCTATTTTCCCATCCCAAATTCCCATTTTTCCACCCAAATTCCCTATTTTCCCTCCAAAACTCCCAATTTACCCCAAAATTCCCATTTTTCCCCTAAATTCCCATTTTTTCCCCCAAATTCCCATTTTTCCCCCCCAATTTCCCGCCATTCCCCTTTCATTTTCCCGCCATTCCCCTCCCAATTTCCC